CTAACACGAATGGGAAAGTGGACTGAGTCCACTGTTTGATTTGGTTTGATTTAACTTGGTGAACCACAATCAGACCAAACAATTCTTATTCTACGATGCTGATCAAACTATATGGTCCGGTTTGATTCACAATTTTTCAAATGATCTGGTTTATTTTTCTACTTCTATAGGAGAAATGAATGAAAAATATGATAATAAATAAAAAAGAATTTGAAGGGTTGGAACTTACATCTGACCTGGAGAAAGCTTCGATGACAAGAAGCTCGCCGTGGCCCTTCAAGTTGAGAATGAAAGCAAGCACCACGGCTTCATTCCTGGGGATGTTGAGGTAATGGCAAGCGCAGAGCGTGCCGATGATCTTCCCGCCCATGCTCAGCAGTATCAGCAGCGCCACCACGATGCAGTTCCTGACGTTGATGAGGTAGTTGACGTCGAACCTGAAGCCGTTGAAGCCGAAGTAAATAGGGAGGATGAAGTTGTTGACCGCGTAGGTCAAACGATGGAGCAAGGTCCTGGTGGTCTTGCCTTCCTTGGGGAAAGCCACGCCGACGAGGAAGCAGGAGATCATGCTGTTGAACCCTAACTTCTCGATCATGAAGGAGAGCAGGATGACGAGGAGGAGGATCCCCGACATCTCCGTGCTCGGCACGAACTTCATGTGCCTCCTCCTCTTGTTGCACCAGTTGGCCAGGTATCTATTCGTCATCATCATCAGTTAGTTCATCCCAGCAGATCAGTGTCAAGAAATTTATTGATGGCAAGGATAGTAAGAGAAATTTAATTTATGTCCATCATCACAATGAAAACAATGAAGTTTGTGTACTAAAGGAGATAAAGGTGAAAGTATGAGGAGCAAACGTAGAAAAGAAAAGGACAAGTAAGTAAGGTATTGTGAGACAAAACCTTTGCCAATTCTATTTTGATTTAATTGGGTCGATATCCTTGTAGCTACATTTTCTTTGAGAAAAATGTTTACTTTGAGAAACAGGTCCTTGTTATGAACTTTAACTGACAACCCTATCATTTTAATATGTTCTTTATTTCCAGTTAACGTATTAAAAATTTTATTCAAATGCATTACTTTGCCGTCAAATTATGTTTAGTAAGTACATCGTGCTAGCTACACATTTAAGTGCTAAAAATTCTATTTTTCACCAATCATGAAACTCCTTTAATCGACATCTTCCTCACATGTCCAAGATATGTATTATAAAATGAGAGTCGATGTGAAATGTGTTAAGGATCAAAATGTGAACTTTTAGCATACATAATAAACAACTAACCTAGAAGCTAGAATACTACGTTTGGTAAATGTGAGTTTTGACCTTAACTCTATTTAATTTCAATGAAATTTCAAATGCAACACTAAAATAGATATATATATGCTTGTTAAATAAATAAAAAATCATAATATAACCACCTATTTGTTAAAATAACGTAGAATAGGGACTAAAACACCATTATATTAAGTATTAACCCGATTCTTTTCCTTTCTTTTGTCGAACTACTATTTGATGCCCAAACAATAAGTTCCTCTCCTTTTTTGTCCTCGATGAAAATAAAATAAAATAAAATAAATGTACCTGTTGGCGTAGGCGACGATCCCAGTCCCGACGATGCAAACAAGCGCGAACCCAAACATCTTCCCGGAGCTGAATGCCAGGTAGGTGGAGTACCACGTGATGCAGAACAGCTCCATGAACAGCGCCGCGCTGATCGCCAGCCTCCCCGGTTCCGCCGTGTCGAACTTCAGCTCGGCCACCAGCCGGACCACCACGGGGGACGCCACGCTGGCCACGATGATCATGATGACGTTGGCGAACGCCAACCTGTGCGCCGTCACCTTGAGCACGTTGATGACGAAGAACGAGGCCGCGGCACCGAACGCGGCGCACACGGCCACGTTCCAGGCCGCGATCACGCCGATCCGCTGGAAGTTCCGGCAGATGTAGGGCAGGTCGGCCTCCAGCCCGATGGTGAACATGAAGAGGATGCGGAACACGAAGAGGAGCAGGAAGCTGTAGTCCTCGAACGCCGGCTGGATGAATATTTGTCGTATCCGGTCGATTTTGCACAGTAGTGACGGTCCCAGCACCAATCCTGCCTAAAACCAAAATTGAAACAAAACCAAAAAAAAAACATTACCGTAAGAACATGGGGAAAAAAAAACAAAGAGGCATCCTTTAATGGCGATCAAATTGTACCAGAATCTGGGCGACGGGGCCGGGCTGGCCGAAGGGCTTGAGGATGACGTGGAAGATCTGGGAGACGAGGAGCATGCCGCAGGTCTGTACAAATGTTGTATTGAAAGGGTTCCATAGGTCGTGGGTACAGAGGAGGCGCTTGGCTTGATCCATAATGGTCGTGGTGTAATTAGCATGGTAATGGGGAAGAACATAGTAGAGATTAGGGCTCTTACGTACGTACTTTTGCGTGATTTTAATTTCTTTACCCACCGTGAAAAGCCGGGCTTTATAGGGTTCTTTTTCTTTTGTTTTCTCAAGGGAGTTGGAATGAAGTGTGAAGGAATAGCTTGATGAGGCTGAAAATGGTGAGGAATGGGATACAAGAAAGCATGGTTATTGGTGCTTGGGGATTGATTTGGGTGCGAGTATGGCTTTTTTCTCTGGCTTCAACTGAATTTTTTTTGTTGATTGAATTGTTGCCCAGAGGAAAGATGGATACATTGATGGAGGATCTTTGTTCCCGGGAAATCCTAATTTGGATGCCTTGTTTCCTTTTTAATTGTCTTCCAACGAGAAGAGTTTCTTCATTGAGTCAATTGTTTTCTTCCTTCCTTCATTTCTCTAGGGTAAAAAAAAAATGTAACATTATTTCAATGGTTAGCCGATATGCATGCATTACAGGCATTTTTAAGGGTGAGATAGTAAGACACTCCGTCTCTTTGCACGGTTGCACGTTTTTCTTAAGTGGGTTTGGTATGAAATATTTGTGGTAAGAGTTCAGAATGAAAAGGTCTTCCCTGCAGGCTGAAATCAAAAAACAAAAACAGGGGATAGTGGTTGGGAAAATGCTAAAAACGATATGGGTAACCCTTTGGTCTTACTATGAGTGTAATGGAATGGCACCCACCCTTTGAGCAAGAACTGAGAACCTGAACTTCTATATATAAGGCGCCACCCAATGCATGCAATGGAACCTTAGCAAAAAAAGGCTTTCGGATCATAATTTAACAACACAAACCGCCATGGATTAGAAACGATGTCATAGCATCACGTAAGGCAAGTAAATCTAACAAACTACGAACAAAGAACACCAGGCAAAGAACCTTCAACTTCCAGATGGATCTGGAACAATCTCAAGTAACCATTTATGCATCTGAATTCACAGTTACCATGAAAACAAGGGTATCTGCAGGGGAGCACTTCAGAGCTGTTATGGACGGCTTGGAGAATGAAGGTATTGTAAATAAGTACCTGAGGGTCCATGGATGACTCTCCTTTGATTATTCTGCCCTGTCTTTTCTCTGTAGGTGAGACATGCACTTCTGAAGAATTACATATCTGTGACTGTGTATCTAAATAATTTCGATTACAAGTTCAATCTACTTTGTTCTCTTGTATATTGGGATGGTGTTGACTTCATTTCTTAGCTTTATGCTGCAGAAGCTTTTCTCTCTAAGAGACCAAACATCAGCACTGGACAACCCAGATGCCTTGCAGAATCAGGAAGTCTTGCTCCTCGGCCACATCATTACCGTTTATACGAAGTTTTGAATTCTTTTTGTTGCTCATATAAGTCAGAAACAACCAAACAAATGTTGGATTTAGGTAAATGGAAATGTGGCTAGGTTGGGAGTTGATGATGCTGTAAGAGGTGGTTTGTAGGCTTTCCTGACTACAGAGCCAATGCCAATACAGTTGACTTAATTGAGAGGTTCAGCTGGCATACCAGCTTGTTCATAGAACACATTCTAGACAAGTGGTTGTCTGATCTGTTACAGGAGTCTGGTCTGAATTTATTTCCTTAGTTCCTTACACATAAGGATCGTTTTTATTCATTCATTCTATTTTATTGTTTTGGAGTAGGAGAGAAATCTACTTAGACCTGGGAGGATACCCAATTTATTACTTGCACCGTGATGATTCATTGGCTTGGTGCTGAATGTGTTTTTCCATGTTCAATGTGTATTTGTTGTGATTATCTTGCTGGTTTTGTTTTTGGTGCTAGGAAAAACTTGAAGATTAGTGGACTAGATTGTATGTCTCGATTGCAGGCAGGGAGTGGATCTGAAGGCCATGATTGCCAGATGTGAAGTACACCATATTAGCATGTTTTGGACACTGAAACTTTAATTTCTGGGTTTCACTGACACGAAATCTAACTAGTCCTCATAGAAGTTGAGACTGTTTCTAACCATAATGTCTGAAGCCTAGTTTCTGATATCACACTCTGATGTATGAGCCACACATTAGTTGATGATAGTATTAGTAAATAGCAACCATTGGAACACATTTCTAAACCTTACTTAAGCAACTTATTTATCAATCCTGATGGTAACATTTGTAACCATTCGATTCTATAGCAGTGGCGACTCCACTTTTAAACATTCATATTAGTATATAATTATGTATCATAATCACCCACTACGGCTCTCAATAACCACCCTGGTATCTAAAGAGGTGCAATTTCAGCAAACACTAGAAAGACATCAAACTAAAGCTGAAGTGCATCCAATGAGTAACTGAAAGGTAAACTTGGCAACTACGAGTAACCAATTCTGCAATAATGATCAATTAGAAAGTCCACCATTCTGTTTCTCATTCTCTATTGACCAAAGCGATACAGAGTCTGAGTGAATAATCCCAAAATAAAAAGGAGACTAGCTTCGCAAAGTAAATAAAAGCTTAAACCTTCACCAAGTGAACAGCAGAAGACCAAAATTGCTTACATGGGACAAAGAGACAGTGATACTAGACTTGCGGCCATGTCTAACAAGCAGCAGCAAGCATGCTTAAAACGAGCTGATTGTTTGTTCTTCAGACTTTCTTCTTCTTCTTTAGCTTGATGGCTGCCTCATTTGTTCCTTTACTGACATCTTTCTTTCGCTTGACACCATCCACATTCTTCACTTTAGATACCTCCACATTCTTCACTTTAGATACCTTCTTCGCTCTTCTCTCGCCTTCAGCTTTAATTCCCTTCTTCCTCTTCTTAACTACAACCTCAGCACTTCCACCAGCCTCTGTCTCATTTTCACCATCACTCAGTTTTTCACCATCAGGATCAGTATCGCCATTGCTATCCATATACCTAATCTCACTAATTCTCCCCTTCTTCTTCTTCCCAGTTTTCCCCTCCTCGACATTTTCTGTCTCCACCTCCTTCTCCGTCTCCTCCTCTATCTCATCTTTTTGCCCTTCAATCTTCAACTTCAACTCAGGAACCGCCTCATACACGGGCAAAGCCAAGCTATCAAGCAGCTTCATGTGAATAGACCTGACACCACCCCATTTCTTAGGCACAATCTTTTCAACAACCCCATTAATCGTAGCCATCACATTCTCCACAATCTCATCTTTCTCCATCGACAGCTTCGCCGCCTTCACAACACTACAAGTACCAGTCTTCACAAACACCAGAGCAGAGCCACAAGCGTTCTCAATCTGTTCCTTCCAGCCCTTGTGCTTCAAATCAATCGCAACCGGAATCTTCTTCTTCCTGAAAAACTCCTTCCCCAACATCTTAGGCAACAAAGGGAGCACCCTTCGGTCAGCAAAAAACAAGTCATAGGAATCGCAGAGCTTCCTCTTGGCCTCGAAGGGGCGGTAATCGGTCTTGAGCTTGGAAAGCTTGATGATTTTGGAGATGGGTATTCCATCGTGTTCGATCTTCTTCTTGGCGGATTCCTTGGTGAGGCCAGATTTGTGCCTGTCGTCGATGATCAAGCAGAGCTCGGAGCTTCCGTCTTCAGGGTTTGCCAGGCGGTGGGGGAGACTGACTTTGTACGGCTTGACTCGGCCGACGCCCTTTTCCGGGATTTTCTTGAGAGAGATAACAACATACATGAACTCGTCCTGTTCTAGGAGTTGAGCTTTCTGGGTTTTCAGCTTGGTAGCTCGCCATGCCTGGAGCGCGTTCACGGCCCTCTCCACTGTTCCGGGACTAACACCGGTTGCCGGCGGCGGAGCTTCCATTGAAATTTTGGGACCTTTCAACTTCGATTCCTAGCGAAGAAGACGGAAGGGAGGAATTGGGCGGAAGGGGGAAAGAGAGCTCGAAGCAGAGGTAGGGTTTAGGTTTAGTAAATGGAAATTTCAAAACCCTAGCGAGTAGCAGAGGTACCGGCTTCCGCCTCACTGGGCCGACGGCTGATGCTTTGGGCTAAATTCAATCTAGTAAAGCCTATATGAGGGTTTGGCCCAAATTAGTGGAGAACATCTGCTACCCAGCCACTTGGTAGTTGGTAGGTTGACGATTTCTTATCTAGAGTCTAGAGATTAGTTAATGCTGGAGTTTTACAACCTTTTCTCCATTCAAAAAATGTTGTTCTCCCCTTAATTTTCGCCAGGGATAATTCTATCCTTTTATTCCCTTAATTTTCCCACTTCTCGCCCAAAGTATCAGTGCGCCATAAACAGTTTCCGGCCTCCTGATTTAGCCTTCTATTAGGCCCATTAATAAAGCTCATACCACATGTCACAATAATTATTGGGCCCGCATTTATCTGAGCCCATTGTAGCATAAGGGGAAATGGGGAATTATCAAACAAATTAGCGGTGGTTTCTAGCCGCTGTGCATCAGCGGATCGGCCAAGCTCAAGAATTTTGGACAACAACGAGTCAACGACGTCAGACGTTGGTTATTTTCTTCAAAAAAATTACAGCCGCCAGTGGGTTATCAAAGCTACAGAACTTAAAACTGGGCGACGGTGGGAAGAACTCGAACTTGACATGGGCATCCGAGCGGCGGCAAGAAGTTCAGCATTACCTGGGCACCCGAGCAGCGGCGGCAGTGACAACTTCCCAAAAACACCGGCGGTGGCGATATTGCCTTCAAACCTGTAATCTCACAGACGCAGCTGAACTCAAAACCCATATCTAACTTGGTCCCTGATTAGCGGACCGAGTCAATTCTTTTTGTCCTTTCAGCTACTTTGCTTACCTGTGTTCCTCCATACAGTCGTTCCTTGTCCTCTGCCTGCGTTCAAAATTTGTTTATGTCCCCTTGGATTTCAATCACCAACCCCAGGTATGTAATTGTATTCTTCTTTTTTTTTTTTTTTGCCTTTTGTTCATTTGGATTGATCTAGATTTTCCTCTACCAAACAAATGAGAATCTTCTCTGTCCAAAACCATAAAGCTAGCTTTTTTGCACCCTCAATTTTCTAATTGAATCACCAACGCCTAGGTAATATTATTGTATTCTCGTATTTCCCTTTTGTCCATTTCCATGGTTATGATTTGTGGTCTACCAGACAAATTAGGACCTACTCATTTTATGCTCTTCCAAGCAGCTCATGTCAACTTGGATGTCGCCAGGGAATCATCATCCTCAACTCAATGCCTCAGCCCATTATGGCATCAATGCTCTGTAATTATCATAGCACCACATTTGTTGGAATTTCGGTATAAGTATGCAACACTGCTCCCTATTTCTAACCGTCGAAGAATTGTGTTTGAAGGGAAAGGTAGAGCTATCCTACGTCAACACTGCGAGACTCAACCACGAGGTTGCGCTGCCGTTGAGAGCATTCATAACCGAATTCGAAGAGGTATATTATTTTATTTCTTTATCCATAATCTACCGATATTCGACATATAACTAAAGGTAGATAAACTGTTAATGTGAGGCAGAGTCTGAAGTATGAAGCTTTGGAAAGGACAACTAAAATTCATCACTTTTGAGCTAGGTAAGGCTTCTAGGAATAAAAGACGTTCACTGCATAGTTCCAAACGCGTCAACCAAGTTATGCCCGCAAATGATGGTAACCAATACAAACACACCATATTATATGTCGTACTGCTTATCTTACACTTCACTCTATTCATTATTTTCTTGGTTTTTGTAGGCGATGATGAAAAATGTAGAAAGTTAGCAGCTGCACAAAATCGACTGTTACGGCGCCTACATCTACATAAAAAGCGTAATGGTCCGACTCTTATGCGGATTTCTCATAGGAAAAGTATGTCGGCTTTATTATCCTAACTCACAGATTGTGTCCTGCTTCTGTAATTGCTTTTGCATTTTGAGTGTTATAGGGGTATTTCCCAAATTCTTGAAAACTACTTTATTTCTATTTTCAGGTTTTATTTCTGGGGAATGCTACAAGCCTACAACCTACTTTGGCAGCTTTCTTAGTTTACATCTCTACCATTGACTTTTTTTTTTATCATTCTTATCATTTACCGGTTATTAATTCTTTTCCCTTTTAGCTGTGTAGTAAATTACCTTGGGGAAATAAAAGTGATTTTGTTTGACATTTGTAAAATTGTAGCTAGATTCAAACGTAGCAACTGAAGGATTAAATTTGGATGATCAACCCATGCATGAGTATGTTAAGGGCTTATTGATTTGTATAAATACATTTTTATTGAAGTTTTTTTTTTTTTGAAGGACATTTTTATTGAAGTTATGAGTATTGGACAAGTTCAATAGATATGATGGGGTCGTATTAATTTCTTAACATATCAAATTTTTACCACTTATCAGCCCATTTGAAAGTTATCGAAAGAAAATCATTTGTACCATCTTAGTCAATATTTATCTCCATTATAACCATGTACGTAATACTAACACTCTGTTTTCGAAGGGAGGGAGGGAAATGGAGGGAAAAGAAAGTTTAGAGGGTAGATAAATGGAGGGAAAGGAAAATTGAAAGAGAGGGAAAATGGTGTTTTATGTAGGAAAGTGAAAGAAAAAAGTAGGAGGGAAGATTTGTATTGGAAAGTGTGATAAATATGTTATTTTATTGGTTATGTAATAGTAAAATAATTTAATTATGTGGTGATATTATTTTCTAACTTATTATCGGTGGATCAATTTTTTTTTTTTTTTTTTGCTAATTTGGTTCATTATTAAAAAAATTTACTTGATTTTAAAATCTAATTCATTTTAATTTTATTTAAAAAGATTCGCATCAAAATTGGATTACCTTTGTTGTAGAAGACAACATGTTATTTTGGTTTAATGTTATATGATATTACTCATATGTTAGATGAGATTTGATATAATTTATAAATGTAAGAACAATATAACAACTTTTTTCATATATTTGGGCTAAAACAGTCGGAATCCTCAACCCACTTTCTCGACCGGGCTGACGAGCTAAACTGGGTTGACAACCTTGTGTAACAGACTTTTACATGTCACGTAATAGTATTACATATCGCTTAAACAATATCATATGTATGAGTATAAATGGGTATAAAATATTATTTCTCACTGTAATCACCTAAACTGAATTTTCAAGATAATCTTTGTCCCATAATTACTCTATGTAATTATCTTATATTTAATAATAAAATATGATTTCTATTATACAAAAATTAAAATAGATGGAAAAAATATCGTTTACATCAACCCACGCAAGACAAACGGAGTTCCATTCCAACTTAAAAGCTAGGGGATAAGCATCTACAGTTATTTATTTTTTAAACTAATTAAATCACTTACTAAAAGGAGAAGTAGATTATATAGGTAAGCGAACGTAAGTTATTGAAACTTGCCAAAATAAAAAAAGTAAATAAATGGGGCGAAAGACATGAGAAGCGGCCTATTCTTTTCACTCCAAATTGGAGGTAGGCATGTACAGTAAAGTTTCTTTTCATTTTCCTCTCCTCTTAATTGTTCCTTCTTTAGAAAAAACAGGGGAAAGTTCATTGGAAGATGAGCTTTCCTTTCCCCTTTTCCCTCCCATCCACTTTATAAATTTTCTAAATTTTAATAAACAGGGGAAAGTTCATTGGAAGATGAGCATTCCTTTCCCCTTTTCCCTCTCATCCACTTTATAAATTTTCTAAATTTTAATACAGTGCATTTAATTTAGATTGAAAATGTTTTTGTGGATATGAACTTTCCGGCCAATGGGCCGGGCCCAAGCTAGTTAAAATAAGTAAAGAATAAATAAGTAAATGGCTTAGAGAATCTCCATTAGTGCAATTGTATTTGCAATTGCATTTGTTTTTTTAATTGTTACTTCATTTTTTTCAATCCAACTCATCTTATTTGTATTGCACCACATCAATGCAATTAACTTGCAATTGCAACTAATTTTTTTAATTTAATTTTTTTTTTCGGTAATTATAGGCCATTTCATTGAAGCACTGCCTGGAAAAACAAGGACCCCAAAAAAACTCGGAGCAACAGACCTGCTCCACTGATCCCTATTACATAGGAAAGCAAGAAACAAAAATCTCACTATCAAAAGGCTAGCAGACTATTGAGCTGGGGAATCGCCCTGATCTCTGTAAGAAAATTCACATTCCCCATAGCATAGAAATTGAACTCTTCCACTAATTGCTGTATAAGCACTCTACAATCTCTTCTCCTGCTCTGGAATATACGCAAGCAGCGCTCTTTCCAAATGATACTTAAGCACCAGCACCACATCGCACCTTTCACCTGACCTTTACCTCCTTGCTTGGCAATGTTGCAGATCCATCGCAGCAGATCCTCCCACGAGCTCGGCCAAGGGCTGCCACCAAAGAAGACTGCACAAACCTGCAGAGAATAGGGACAAGTGCAAAAGAGATGGGTTCTGCTCTCTTCTTCCCCATCACACAACACACAAACCGAGTTTGTAACTTTACCCCATTGTCTCAGTTTATCCAACGTATTAATTCTGTTCAGAATTATCAACCATGTGAGTACTCTGTTCTTAGGAATCACAAATTTATTCCATATCACTCTCCACCATTCAACCTTCCTACGTTTGGGCCTAATAGAATTCCATACCTGCTGGATGGAAAAGCGAGTCATCACTTTTCCTTCCCAAGTTACCTCCCCTGCTGGTGTAGAAGCAAACCTGAATTGGAACCAACTCCTAGCAGCTAAGAGTCTTCTCCATATCCAGGACCCTGTCTGTGAGGAAGAGAGGTCCCAAATTTGTCTCCCCCTCAGCCTGTAATGGTGAATCCATGCTACCCAGAAGCTACCGCTTTTCATCAGTAATAACCATAATAATCGCCCAATACAT